CTCACACGTGAGAATGCATCTATAACCTTCTTTGTTTGAAACTGGTTGCAGTCGTCTATGGGCCGCAGTAGTCACTTACCAGCAGGCTGACTGAAAGTTAGTTCACTTCACAGTTTAAAAAAATTACCATTATAATCGTCATTGCTATAAACTGTGAACTGATTTACTACTTTTAGAAACATTTGTGAACACAAGTTAACAAATGTTTCTCAAAGATATTCACAACATTTCAATTACATAATAACAATTGATTTAGGACCTATGTGTCAATTCAAGACTTCAAGTGCTATAAGTATATTTTATTGACAATGCGGAAGACTAGTCAGTTGAAAAATTACATAGCAATATAAGCTAGTTATACTATTAAGGCTATTAAGATTGTTAGTTTTTTCTTTATTTTTATCCAATTTTAGAAAGATAAAATTCAGATATGGATAATGTAAGTAAGTATTATGTATACTTGTGCCAGGATGGCCTCCTGGCACAAGTATACATAATACTTAAAAGGTTTGTCCCCAGCCTTTGATTGTAATGATACAACTGTAATTGTTATAGAAATAAACAATTTAATGATTTGATACGCCGAATAATGCATTCAAATTTAAACATTCGCTCTTTCATGCACCAACATAATTTTTTCATACCTAATGGCATCACAAAGTTCGTTTACAAGATGCACTCGCAACATTAGTAAACACTCGGTTCATAATCCGCATTTAAAGTGTTAAATCCCCGTTGTAAGCTTTGAGGAAAAAAGTTCACTATCGAAATTGACAGATCTGTAAAGAGCATTGTGAAGGACTTCATGTTAAGCCAACACCGCGCCGTCACTCGAAAGCGACCCCGTCTTGAACCGTATAGCGGCAAATTTTTAGATTTTGCTACGGCTCTTGGGACGATGACAAAGCAACAGGCACCATAATCCCTATAACAGCCATTTAGGGCCATTACAAATAAAAGTTTGTCGGAGTCGGTCGCTCGATGTCGGTTCGGCTCAATGCCACAATGGCCATTGAGGGGACTTCACGCTGCGCACGCTGTGAATGGGCCAGCGCCAAAAAAAATCTATTAGACACGCATAATGGATTCGATGTATCGAAGTGCGGACGCGCCGAGTTCCTGATTGACGGACCGCTGTTAGAAATTTCTGAATGCTCATATAATTTAGCACTATTATAAGATTCGAACTAGTTTATTGTAGACATTAGATTACGGGTGATTGGCGTTGTACGACGCAATAGCCTCGGGAGAAATGCGGCTTGTTTGGGAGCAACCTGTCCCCCGACGGGTGCTTACGTAGTCACCTCGACTTATTTTAACTTTGCTATATTAGCAATCAGTGTCAACAGTCGATCTTAAACTGAGATTTTGTCGTCTCTTTATGAGTTATTCGAGATTTCAACGTTGGCGCCATTTGATTTCAGTACTTAATATCTAAAACTTAGTGAACATTAACCAGTGTATAAATTGATTACTTGAGATAAATTATATCGAAATATTTCATTAGGAAGTGATATTCCGTTGCTATTGAAATGCAAGATCAATATCAATCATGATCAGTAATAAGATGTATCTGTCCATTGTTTGGTATGAAAAAAAATATATCAAATAAGCTCGCGTTAGTGAATAAAAAGATTAACTCTCGACTGTAAGTCGATATAGAACAATACCTCATTGTTCTCTATTTCAATACTTCGTAAATTCAATCGAACTTGGGTGGGTACGAAAGAGATTTGTTCACTCTTCCTAAATTCGTTTGCGATGACAAATATTTTGGCGAGGGAAGATCGATGGGGTAGGAAAACAATTGACTGTATCGGGATATGGGAATTCAAATAATCTGTTCGCGAGAGCCGGTGTGAATGACGGGCTTGATTAAATGATATTTTCAACATTTTTGAAAAGTGTTACGTTATCGACTGATAAAATAACCTTTGTTTTCACTTTTGTTATAATGGAAAAAATATTTTTATTGTTACAACTACTATCTAACTAGAAAATACCAATAGGTATCATATCCGTCCTTTGCTATTTTTTATTTATGTGTGTGTTTATGAACGTGTTACTTTGTATATCACTCTATTAGGTATAGTAAATGGATTCTGCAGCCCATTTCATACTATATCACCTGTAATCAAACTTGATTCAAGCAAAGAAAACAACAGATGCGTAATCATCCCTGAGAAATAAAATCCCCAAAGGTAGTACTAAATTAAAAAAAAACTGTTAAGCTTATGGAAATTTTAAACTTTTAAATATATATTATGTTATCAAATATTTTGAATCTGTATATTTACTTTAATTATTCACATAATTATTAGTTCAATACAGTCAAATTTTTGGGTTGTAAACGCTATATCTGTTCTCTAAAATTATATTGAATAGGAATTTCTTTACCTATTCATTACGCTGCAGCTAAATTACGATTGCAGCACGAATGGGTCGGCTCGACCGAGGACGGATCTCGCTCCCGCAGAATACCAGCGTAAAAAAGCAGCTTAATGCTGTTATTTTTCGTATAGTGAGTGTTAAAGAACAAGGAAGACCATTTAAGTGGAAACAAGGCATCCATCTTAGTCCTCAGGGGTGCCAATGCATCTGCATTTTGATTCTTAATCCAGGATGTTTATGGGCTACAGCATCTACTTACCATCAGGTGGACTGTGTGCTCGTAAAAAAAACTATATTTAAAGCATTGTACATACACCTATGTGTAATATAATATAACATATACGAAATGAATAAGTAATAACTTATCTACAGAATAAGAACGGCATAGTTCGGATTTGTTCATGAAGTTCGAAGTGAAAGTGCAACGACTGAGTGTAATAATAACTGGTACGCTACGTGTTATGATCGACTAATATAACATAAATGAAGGCATTTTAACGTTAACTTTATATACATTAGCTATTTATGACGTGAATTTATAATCTGTGTATTATTATGCATTTACAATCTATGGCCATGAGGCTGTAAGCGCGGGCACGCAACGTGCACGTCGCCGTCGGCGTCCAAAGACGCTGTTCCAATAGGTGTACTCGAGGTTCGTAAAACACGCAATCTTTTGCCTTAACTTGCGGTACAGGTTTATGTTTTTATTTTATTTTTTCATTATTGTAAATATTCTTGTTAAGATGAAAATGAATTCGTCACATTATACAAGACGTATTTTCAGGCCATTTAATAAAAAAAATATCAAAGACTTATATTTCGAAATAAAAGAGATAAGCCAAATTCATTTTAAACATAATATGTAAGATTTGTTTAAATGGAGTTAAAGTGGGTTGTAATTCCGCACGGAACAAGTTGGGATTTTAAGAAGTCATACGACCGACTTTAGTCGAAAATATACGTCAGGTCTTTGGTAATATCGTAAATTGCTTTTGTAAATCTTCCACGGTGGTTTGTAAATAGGTATCTGAGGGTAATAAGGCCCGTCAGTTAGTAAGGTAGTTAAGTAACAAAAATTGTACCTATTTATAATAACCGCTCTCGCTCTATTACCCCGCGTCCTGCCACCAGAGTTGCATTAGGTAATTAGGTATCTATCATATGACACGACCGCACTGCACCAATAATAAAAATGAGTCTAAATAAATCTTACATATGTTTTGTAATATTACACTTAACTATCTAAAATTGTAATCTTAATCTTTGTGAATAATTTTTTTTGTTGATTTTGAAGATTTGAATATCGCATCGTCGTCGAAGTTTTTTTTAATTAGGTTTTTCTTAAATACCTTGGTCGGCGTTTATTAAGGCCTACAAAATTTTACCATAGGCCTTATCATACTACTTCTTCGTGTGTAGTTTTTTTTGTTTTATAATGTATTTTATATCACTTTTAAAATGTTATAGGTAAATGCAAATAGATCGTCAGCTTTTATTACCAAACAAATGTTGTAGTCACAAAACGACTTGGCTTCAGTCGTCCAAACAGAGCAAAACAGTGTGTCGAAGAAGTAAGGCTTTGATATTAGAAGCTATTAAATATGTACAAATAATTTGGTCCTGCGCCTAAGCTCTCTCGTACCGTGTCGGATTGCGATTTGATGATTGTGAAGGATTAGAGTAGAGAGTGAACCTGTGCTCACACATACATTCGGATACTATAATTCTATACTGTGCAGATAGGCTAGTCTCCATACATACATAAAAACTATTTATGAAACATTTAATGTAGGTAATTTATTAATACCAATAGTTCCCTAGTGGTTGAAAATTGACCGAAATTCATTAAATTTTTAACTGTATATCACATTACACTGCACATTAAAACACCTCTCTCTTATATAAAATATTAAATAAACGCTTTTTTGCCTTGACATTCACTTGACGGACTATTGAAAAAACAACATATTATGAAATCACACAAAATTAAGTAGTAATTATTTGTTGGCAACATCTTAAACTTCCTTGGCTACAACCATTGGTCTGTGCGTCTGTTTGGCCACAGACTACTGTGTGTATTGATCATTGACAGTGTGAACGTAAACAATAAATGTTTTTATTCAATATTTTTATGACAGATATTATACATAGTAAATTGTAGCTTTCTGCACTCCTCCACATAATCTTACTAAATCTCACACTCCTCCGTGCACGTGATATGTTTAAAAAGGGATTTCTCTTCACGTATTAATAATATACAGATTATAGAAGGAAAACTTTATACAACAAACATGCTGAATTCTAAAAAGAAAACTGATTTCTAAAATTAAACAATCTATTACGCATCATTTATGGATGATCCAATGGATTTATTCAGTGATGTGATGCGCTTTAACACTATTTCTATCATGTGAATAATGGAGATAGATATTCATCATAAACTTTGAGTTATAAGCAGAGTGAATTAAACTACAGTAAAATACATTTTGTATAGTAAACTGAATAATAAACGAATTATTTTTTTAAAGTAACTATGGAAGTAGGTAGAGTTCTTCACGAAATATAAAGTAAAAAAATATAAGTAAAAATTTTCTCAGTAAACTTACAATTGGCTTATTGGTAGGCGCCGAGAAAGGCGCGTACATATCGGTGATCATTTCGAGCACAAAACACTAACACATCGCGAACAATCGGTGATTGTAGCTCGACATTGGGCCGTCAGTATCCGAGGAATACGCGGCACGCGTCGCGTCGCGTCGCTTCAGTGCGACTCGGGGAACGGCGTGCGGCGTGGGGAGCAACTGCGTGGGCTCGGTGGGCGTTGCACCAATCCCAGCCCAGTCACTCCCTCCCAATACCGCCCACGCCGCGCCCCGCCCGCAAGGTCGCAGGGCGGACGTATCGATCGCACGCGCTCGCACCGCTCGACTCCATTTTATTCCAGCTCCCCCGATTTGCATAAACTTTTTTCTTGTTTCAAATTGCCGCTTACTCAGCTCACTTAGACATTGCTTAGCTCTCGAATACCGTTAAAGATAGTCCGGAGGAACTTTATAAGCAGCTACTTGTGTACAACGACTGTTTTGTCCGTAGATTTTATAGGATTAATAATCGTGTGTCAAACTTGCCAGAAGCAATATTCGAAAAGTGAAGATATTCATTTAAATAAGGCAATACGGAAGATTTATTTAATTAACACACTTCAAAGTTTTAAGTTACATTAATAAAGAACATTTTATTTAAATAATATTTTACTCATAGTACTTATATACCTAAAGAGGTATGTATAATATGAACGAAAAATGTCATAAGTACAAATAAAATTGGATTATGCCAAAAATGTTGGAATGTTATGTTATGACTCTACCTAGATAATTTATGGTCACCGGATATTAAAATAATGAACCAATTAGAAATTAAAAATACCATTATCTATAAAATACCTACGTTATTTAAATATTGAAAAAGCTATTCTTCCGCTTCTTACTAGATTTAACAATCGGTATATAGGATCTACTAACAGAAGTGTAGCTAGGTACATAGATAATCAATGAAAATGCGAGTCCGCTTACATTTAAAGGACTACATAGTCCGCCAAACAAGAACTTAAGCAATGTCCTGCAAAATGTTAAGATAACCTAACTCCTCTTAGCACAAGTTTAGACAACTTTGCTTCTCCCCGTTTGCAAAAACACAACTTTAAAATTAATAAATTTACTTTTATTACTTACAAATGCTAATTGTTGACTTTAAGATAGTGTACTAGTTATGGTATATATAGATAGCTAACTTTGATATACCTAGCCGTTTAACTCTGAAAATTTAACGAAGTAGGTATAATCAGGTAATAAAACTACATTACGGTTGCCTACTAGGTAATGTAGAATAGTATAGACTAGGTGATGTCCAAAAACGTTAACGCTACTCAATTTCAAGTTGCCGTTAAGTTACGTGCTCTCTCTGTCACTCTGAGTCTAAGCGACTGTGATACCACGAGACTTAACTACATCTTGAAATTGAGCTACACTTACCGTTACAAGCTATAAAGTGCACTGCTGAGCATAGTCCTACCTCACACATTGCCTCATAAGGGGGATATTTGCCATAGTTGGCACGCTTGGCAAGCGGGTCGGAAGATCTGCCATTTAAAACAACTGTTTGTGTTCTATTACCTTAATATAATATAATTTGGTGCCATGTTCTTTACGCCATATTACTATAGCTTAGTAATTAATGTCCTAAGGTGCACACCGTTGGAGGCTTTGGAAAATATCAAAACGAACCTCTTCCGAATTTTTCCATGCACAAAAAATATTATTTAATCAGCTCAATAGTGGCGTCAGTTGTCGAGTGACCCTCTCTAACATATTTTGGTGCGTTGTTGTTTATTTATATTAAAAAAAACTCAAAATTTCATTTAAGGACTGCTGATTCAAATGCCGTATGAATAGCTACCTATTCGTATGGCCTACAAATAATTTTCCGACGTTTATCCTTGTGCATTTTGTACATGAAACTATCTTCAAGATACGGGAGAAAATCCTACTATGGGGCTAACGTATATTAACAAGGAAAAAATCTCAAGCTCACATAACCTTTTTCTACTCTTACGAATTCCTTCCTTGCTCTTTTATTACATTTTTCACAATATTTCATAAAAATAGTCAGTAATGTGAATGTTCATGTGGAAGAGATGGAATTATTTTCGCTATTTGACTTCTAAACCTCTGCAAACAATATTCATTGATTTTTTTATAAAATGAGGGTGACAAACGAGCACACATTTCATCTGATGGTAAGTTGATGCTGTGGCACATACACATCTCCATCTATCCTCGATTTAAGAATCAAAATGCAGATGCGTTGTCACCTAAGAACTAAGATGGAATGCCCCATATTCAATAAAAAGGGTCTCCGGTTCTCTACACTCACCATACGAAACACAGCAGCATTAAGCTGCTAGTTTACGCTGGTATTCCGTGAGAACGTGGTCCTTCCCCGGTCGAGCCGACCCATTCGTGTTACAATCACAATATAGTTGTAGCATGGCTCTACCACGTATAATCACGTATAATTGATTGATTGATTTCTTACCTTCTGTTTCTGTTTATGTACCTAAGGTAACTGTCTATAATGATAAGAACTTAGTTTTAATATTAGGTTTTAGCAAATAAATTAGTTTTACATTTTTAAAACGCTTTCGTTAGCTTGGCGTGTATGCTTGTAATATGTATGTCATAATGTACATAAACACTCACGCCTGTCACCCAGAGAGGTAGGCAGAGACTACAGACTTCCATTTGGCACGATCCTGACACACCTCTCTCGCCTCCTTCACATCCATACACCTACGCATACATGCTCGTCGGTTAAGGGTACCCCTAATTTGGCCCGTTTTCAATAAATCGCCAATTTGGTCGATAAATTTTCGCCTAGGACGTCCCTTTCCAACTCTGCCATTCACTTCTGCAACATAAATTTTCTTTGTCACTGTCACAAACATTCTTTCCACATGACCAAACCACCGAAGCATTCCTTTCTTAATCCTGGTCACAACATCATCTTGCAAACCACACTCTTCTCTTATTACACAATTTCTTACCCTGTCATTCAGATTCAGCCCTAACATACTCCTTAACGACCGCATTTCTACTGCGTTGATTCTACTCTCGTGCTTCTTCTGCCACACCCAACTTTCACTACCATACGCTAAAGTAGGGACCAACACAGCATTATGAATTGCCATACGTGCCTTTTTCGACACATTTTGACTCTTCACAATAGAGTGCAGGGCCCCATTTACTCTATTTCCCGCATTCACTCGCCGTTCTATATCCTTATCACATCTCCCATCCCTGCTAAATACGCAACCCAGATATACAAACTCATCTACTTGCTCGATCAACTCCCCTTCTATTCTTATTTCACAAATCGTTTTACTTTCTTTTCTTTCAAAAAGCATAACCTTCGTCTTACTTGCGTTCACTTTCATACCCCTTTCTTTTAATGATTCATTAATGTAACCATCATTTGCAACTCGGCCGCCGACGACGCAAGGATAACTTGATCATCGGCGTACAAAAGGCATTTGACGGTTAACTCACCCATTCTTAAACCGCATTCTTCAACTTTCAAATTTTGCAAACAACTGTCCATAAATAGGTTGAACAGGCACGGGGAAGCCACACAGCCCTGTCTGACACTTTTATGGATGTCAAACCAGTCCGAGTAGACCCCGTTGATCCTAACACAAGCACTAGAGTCCCTATAAAGAGACTCCAATGCCTGTATCAAGCCAGCGCTCAACCCAAATGAGTTCAGTGTTTGCCATAGCACATCCCTATCCACTCTGTCATAGGCCTTTTCCAAGTCCATGAACGCACAAAAAACCTTTTGGTTTTTGGCCAAAAACTTCTCCGCGATCATGCGCATGGAAAAGACTTGATCTGTACATCCCATTCCCTTTCTAAATCCCGCTTGCACATCCCAAATTTTTCCATCAGTTTCTTTCATGACCCTTTCAATCAGTATACAGTTAGCATACAGTTTTCCCACAATGCTAAGAAGGCTGATGCCACGGTAGTTTTTACAGTAATGTAATTTTTTATCTCATTATTTATCTATTTCCAAAACTCTGAATAATCCGGAATCTTGAAAATGCATTATAATTCGACGACAATATTTTATAACTGTGAGCTAATATTCTCACTAGGGTAACACAGCTTATGAATAATGAGTAATGTCTTTATTTTTGTCTCTTATACTTATATTAGTATTAGTAGATAGCACCTGTAAAACATCGGTCACTGTCAAATGATCGCAGTGAAAGAGGTGCCTCTCTCTTGGCGCCTCTAAACCACTACAAGTAGTTATAACCAGGGGCACACCTCATAGTAATTACGAAATAAAATTTAGTTACTTACTTTTATGAACTTATTTTTATACTGATGCAAATAGGCTAATTTTAAAACTTTTAATCTATATTATCGTTGTGTTGTAACCTTCTCTTTAAATGTGTAATATGATAATTACATTGCTTTAGGTTTTCTGTATAGATTGAGGATGACAAACGAGCACACAGTCCACGTGCAAAACCCTGTGGTTCCCTTTAACTGCGTTATCAGAATTATTATTCAAGCATATAGAAATAATTTTTTTCAAAAAAAAACATTTAAAAAAATTAATTTTAATGAAAAAAAAATTATTTGCAAATTGTATGTGGTTTTATTATCTCTGCATTGGCCGAGGAGTAAGAAGATTATCAAAAACTGGTTGGTTGAAATAAAACCACATACAATTTGCAAATTATTTTTTTTTTCATTAAAATTATTTTTTTTAAATATGGTTTTTGGAAAAAAATATTTATATGCGCTTGGATACTGATCCTGATAACACACTTAACGGAAACCACAGGGTTTTTGTTACATATTGTATATATATATATATATATATATATATATATATATATATATATATATATATATATCTGTCCTGGATTAAGAATCAAAATGTCTGTCACCTCTTAATTATATCCTTAATTTCATTAAAAAGGCTCTCCGGTTCTCGGCGCTCACCATGTGACACAGTAGCATTGAGCAGGCTTTTGGCCCTAGTATTCTGTCAGAATGTGGTCTTTTGCCGCTTGATGCAGTCCATT